AAAATTGGAAACCAGATTGACAGAACACAATAAAAAACCGTCCCATGTTTTTCACCATTACAACTAAAAAAAATCATAGTATGTCTATTAAAAATACAGCCATTTTAAACAAAGAACCAAACATAAGCAAACGAAAAATGAAGGAATCCATCTTAATTTAACAAAACAACCCTACTCTAAACTAACACCCTGGAGTACTAAGATACCTCTTCTAAGTTTTGCAACAATATCCGGTCATGTGACCTCTTTGTTCAATACTGTATATATATATATATATATCTGTCTTAGTGTAAGTTACTTGTATCTGATGATGACAAAACCTTGTCAAAACGTTGTACATTTGCTGTTATGTTCAACTTATATTAACATTTTTCTTCATTACCCATTCAAGCCGTCTTCAAGCATTATTTTTTTATCTATAGGTAAGATAATACTTGTTGTATCTTGGTGAGCAAAGGCTTTGCTTTCAACTCCATAGGAAGAAACTTGAATGGAAATCGAAAAATATATTTTTTTCCATAGAAAAAATCATCTATTTCAATGATCTATGTTTTGTGTTTTACAATACACAATGCTTTTGATAATAGGTCTGCATATAAGCAATACTAGTCTGAATTTTATTAATACATGAAGTTAAAAATTATATTTCCTTATATTTTAATGAAATATGATTTATAAAGTTTATGAGATCGACACTTCTATTTTTATGTGGTCGACATTAATGACCCAGACATTATGTTTGTTTATATTTGAATGATATAATGATTTATAAAGTTTATGAGATCGACACTTCTATTTTTATGTGGTCGACATTAATGACCCAGACATTATGTTTGTTTATATTTGAATGATATAATGATTTATAAAGTTTATGAGATCCATACTTCTATCTTTATGTGGTCGACATTAATGACCCAGACATTATGTTTGTTTATATTTGAATGATATAATGATTTATAAAGTTTATGAGATCCATACTTCTATCTTTATGTGGAATTGCATTTTGTCACGGTAACTGTAGGGCTTTTTAAACTTCAATTTGCACTTCAAAAATTGTTTCTATGTATATAGATAGATTTATAAGACTTGTAGTAGTATGTATGAATCAGTATAACAGTACATAATATATTACGTGTGTAATCTGCAAGTGTACATGCTTGTGTTGCTTGTAGCTATGGTGAATATAAGTGCCAATGATCACCTATTTTTGTGAATCATAAAGAAGTGTTTGCAAATGATTAATATTTCAATAAATTATAGTACAATTCGCACAAAAGTCAATCTCAGAGCACCTATTTTTCAAAATTTTTTTGGGGGGCATGTCTTCAGACCTCCCTCCTGTAGCACTGGCATATTTTGCACACTATTCTGAGTTGCCTGACCAATCCAAAAATGCTTCCTCCATCTATGTGTGGTCGACATTAATCACCTACACATCATGTTTCTTTATATTTGAATTATATCTGATTTACAAAGTCTAGTGGCACAAAGGTATCTCTGCGGACTTACAACGCTAGAAACCTGGTTTTATACCCGTGGTGGGCATAGCACATATAGCCGTGTAGCTTTGTGCTTAACTTGCAAACAAAGTATATGAGATCGATACTTCTATGTTTATGTGGTCACTATTAATCACCTAGACTTATCAAATGTTATTATTATCATTGCAAAATTTGACACGGGGGAGGGATCAAGAATAACCTTTAAAGTAATGGAAGAAAAGTGTCAACTTGAAAAACTCCAATATCTGAGGAGCTAAACTTATGTATCAGTAAAAATCCAGTGTTTATGAAGTTAAAGATTCAGTCTTGCGATTCTGGTCGGACGTGGCCTAGTTGTTTACTTCCTTGGACTATGAATCCAAAGGTTCATGGCCCCAAGTCCCTTACCGCCAAAAACGTGTTCCTTACTTTGGGGCTGTACACAGCGTGGTCACAAGTAAATAGACACCACCTTTTCAGAAAAAAAAATGAAAATTTTCAGTCATATTCACATGAATTGATATATTTATAATTTAATTAATATCTAGTAGATCTTCCTTTCGCTTCGTCGAATTCGTTGATACTTTGGGGCATCGTGAGAATCATCTCGTGAATTTTAGATTGTGGGATTTTCGCCCATTCTTGCTTCAAAACTTGGTGTAGATCGCTCTTCGAAGTTGTTTTTTGGGTTATTTCTTGACTTGCCGGTCGAGTATGGCCCAGAGGTTTTTGATGGGGTTCATTTCAGGAGATTGGCTCGGCCAGGGCTACTTCTGGATACCTTTTTTTTCCTGCCACTTTTGGGTGTTTCCAGCAGTGTGACATGGGGCTCCATC